TACCTACCCAATAGATACGATTTTTGAAAAATATCTGCAAGGCATATCCCTGGTATGATAAGTGGAGTACAATGTGCCTAGGACTCATCATGTGAAGGCCCTTTGAATCTTGGTTAACGACTAATGGTAGAGTTTGATACGGTACGATACGTCTTTGAATCTGTCGTCGGCCAAATAATGAGTGTTTTGACAAATGGAGAATAAAGAAACTTCATCATATGATATCACATCGAGGTGTATCCTTGCAAATATATTCAATGAAGCCTCATACCCCTTTAGTTCAAGAATTATATAAATTGGACATCATTTGACCCACCAGCCATAATTCATTAGTGGCTAAGATGTGCCTTGACTAACAACCCTGAACTTGATAATTTGGGATTAATTCGAAAGTCTTGAAAAATCCTATTTGAGGCATCATGTCCCTCATCCTGAAGTTTCAAGTCATTTGAAGGTAGCTTAACCCATCATCCATATTCGTCCATAGCCAAAACCGTGACCTTTGTTTGTCAAACAGATAGCTAGGATGACATTCACTCTTTAAATTTGAGATTTCTATCAATCTATGAGTTTTCTCATGGGTCCTAGACCATTGGATTTCTGACTCGATACCCTATCAACCATGTAAATCGACATCCTATCATTCTCTTACGAGAAAGCGACAAACTTTGCAACAGTAACCATGAAAATTGTGCAAAAGTTTGACTGTAATGGATGATTTCTCCCAAGATCTAAAGAATCTTGAAGCCAAAATTTATGGAGATGTGTGTCATAATCCCCTCTAAGAACTTATTATACTCCTAGAATATGTAATCACCTGTGGTAGAAACAATTGTACCTACAATCCTCAGATCTACTATCGTAATCTACAGGAGAAATGAGTTCAATTCGACGGGTCATATCTCCCTCATTTCTGATACAGTTGATGTGAGGTTTCAACCATTTTGTTCGCCTTTAAGTCCTCTATCATCTCAAATTTTCATGGTGAATGGATTCGTCATTAGAAAGTGGCAGTGAAAATACTCAAACATGTCAACGATATTCTATAGATTGGCCGATGACGGATAAGAAACAACCATTTTCCTTGATTTCTCATGGAATATCACGATGAATATTGGCCGTTACACACTCAAATTCCAACATTGGAACAAGATCCAGATCAAACAAGGTCAAAGTTATCATTAAAACCACTTGGAAGTACTTTCAAATTCAAACAGAGATATGTGCTTATCATTTTGAACCAATCAAGAGAGATAATCGATGTAGTCAACGATTATCGTTTTAGAAGATCTATTTGAACCCTCTTCACAGTGGGAAAAGAGAGATGACGAAATTGATACGTACTCATTTACCATTTTGTGTGTGATAGAGATAGAGAAAAAGAAAAGAAAAATGACTATACCCATTGCACCAACAGTCAAGAGATAGGCCTCGATATCGCCATCTCCTACTTTGTGGTGCATAAATCATTAAGAGAGACAAAGACAGAGATAGAGATAGAGGAAAGCCATTGATTCCAGATTCACTTGAAGCCTCAGCTCGAGAAGGAGCAGATTCGTAGACAATTCTCCTACACATAGTCAGGTATATGGGGCAATATGTCACTTGGTATTAATGTTCTCTACTTGTCTGTAGATTTTTTTTAAAACTATGAATGTATCAGTTTCAAGACCAGAATCAAAAGTATTCGACCTCACCTGGTGGGTTAATGTAAACTGTACAGGGATTGTAAGTTCCTGGAACTCCTCATGTACCTGGTACATATGGAAAGTCCTTCTTGTTTCTATGATATGAAACTTGAAGGCGAATTTGACCTCATTTGTGTTAGTCGTCTAGTTTATTTCTCTGATATCGAATCATAATAACTAAAGCATATTTCCCTAACACATTGCTACTAATGAGGTCTATCCAGACCCAGAGCTTGACATGACTCACACACAACTAAAAGAGAATAATTCAAGACACATTTGTATCAATTGATCACACTGGAATTAAATTATGAAATCAAGACTAGATGTACAAACTAAATCTAAAAATGCACACATGTAATTCGTATTTTTACTTTAGATTGCAAATTTTTAGTATTTAATATCACATTGCATTTATTTTCCTAAAAACATTACCAAAAAATATTCATCACCATTTATAGTGCATTTTTCTTTTCTCTTTCACATAAAATGGTAGTATTTAACAATTTCAACTTTCAAATAAAAGATCCCACAATCTAATTGTTTCATTTTTTTATATATTTTTTGTATTTTTAACTTTTAAGTTTGAACTAAAAATAACTAGAAACTAAAATATTCAATATGGTTATTATATGTAAAAAAAAATGATGTTAATAAACTCAACATTAGGATAAGAAAAAAAATTGATATTTCTTCATCATTACAATAAGAGCACAAGATGCAATGACTCAATAGAGACACATACATACAATATAAGTAGGTTAAGCTCATCAATTTAAAGCAATTTTAGTGACAAAAAAACAATTTAGACAGAAATCCAGATTCTGGGCAGAGTGTGGGAATACCCAAAATTAGGGCACGGTATGGAAAAACCTAAATTAGGGCATAGTGTTGGGGTGTGAGAGAGAGAGAGCTACTTAATTATTTAAATTCAAAAAAAAATGACAAAAAAAAGAAAATGTTATTGTAGATGCTAAAAAGATGTAATAAAAATATGGGAAAATATCCCTTTATCCCCTATTTTTTACTTCTATATTTTATGAGACTCAAGAACAGAAAATATTACTTATAAACAAAAGACCTCAATCTTTTCTATCTTACAACCCCCTAAACCCATTTGACCATGTATTATTGACTTTAACAACTTATGAAATGATTCATTTCCCTCAAAACCTAACCCATTAACCTACGCCCTCTCTCTCTAAACCCGTTAACCTACGCCCTACATTTATCTCTCTATCAGATAACCAATTTAATGTCCATCTTTGACTCTCTCTCTCTCTCTCTCCTTTCTTTGCTGGAGGCCTCTGTCTCTAGACTCTCTACCCAACCACTCTCTCTTCTTACCAAAACCACACCTCTCTCTCTCAAACTACCCAAAACCCAATTACCATCTCTCTCTCTCTCTCTCTCTCTCTAACTACCCAGAACCCAATCACTACCTCCTGCAATTCAGAGCCATGTTTTATCTCTTCTAGCTCTTCAGCCTTTCTTGCCTTTCTCTACAATCCACTGAAGCCCGACAAACTTACCTCAACAACAAGCAATTGTCCTACAATGCTAAAGTATCCTACAACCTTGGCTAGACTTGCAATGGTATCAACTCCTCCTGAAAAACCTTCCTCTCAACCCACCTTCAATTCCCCTGTCTCCATCGTCTATCTCTTGAACTCTGATGCCTTGCAAAACCTTCATCTTATTTAGCACTCAACTAACCTTCAATTCCGCTATCTCCATCGCCTATCTCTTGAACTCTCATGCCCAAGAAATTGTAAAAAGAAATTGGCAAACTAAGACAAATTTTTGGGACTTTAAACCTCTCCTACAATAGGTTTTCAGGTAGAATCCTTGAAACTTTAGAAAATCTCCCTATTTTTGTTAGCCTGGATCTGACCCACAATGACCTGAGTGGCCGGATTCTAGCCTCTGGAAACTTGGTAAACCAAGGACCAACTGATTTTTCGGGAACCGGAACATGTGCGGCTTCCCTTTAAATAAGCCATGTGAAGTTTAAGAGGTCGCGATTTTGGCCGGAAATTTTAGAGGTCCCTTTAAATAAGTCAGAAAAGGTGACACCAAAGCGAAGGCAAGGCCCAATAGTGCTGATTTTGGCCGAAGCAACTGCTCTCGTCATCTTGGCATCGGTTTTTTGCCGTAAAAGTAGAGGGGGTTGCTGGAAAAGTGAGATGGGGGGAGAAAGCGAGGGTTTAAGGGTTATGGATGAAGGGGTTGTGTATGGTTTGGAGAGGGAAAACAGGGGTTTGTGTATAACGTGGTGGTGGTGGGCGAGGTGGCGCTCGCGGTTGTGAGAGTGGCGGATGGTGGTGGCTAAGTTTAGAGACAGATAGGGAGAGACTGAGTGCTCGCGGTTTAGAGAGTGGCGAATGGTGGTGCTAAGTTTAGAGAGAGAGAGGGAGAGACTACGTTTAGAGAGAGAGGGCGAAGGATAGAGGTTAGGTTTTGAGGAAAAGGAGTCATTTCATATGTTGTTGAGGTTAATAACATATGGTCAAATAGGTTTAAGGGGTTATAAGATAGAAAGGATGAAGGCCTTTTGCTTACCAGAATATTTTCAATTATTGGGTCTTATGAGATATAAAAGTTAAAAATAAGGGATAAAGAGATATTTTCTCTAAAATTATTAGGCACTTAACTTGATACTACTTTCGGTAAAAAAAAGTAAAAAAAATTTAAGAAAACTAAATAAAATTAAAACCCCCAAAATACTATAAAAACTCAAACTTGATATAAAGAAAGTATAGGTTATACAACGGAGTGAGAGAGAGAGTCTATTCCTGTAATGGACCGCAGACTATGGAGTTTGGATTGTGGAGACTCTAAGATGGGGCCGATGGCTTTTTAAGGAAGAGGGAGTGGCGGACAAACGGGAGAATTGAAGATTTGAACGCCTCAAAGGTGAAACAGATGACAAAATAGGTTACACATTAAAAATCTAATAATTTTAACTTCTAACTTTTAATTTTTAAAAATTATAATAGCTGAAATCATATCATCTTAATGCTATTAATTTTTTTAATGCTCTTGGAACATCATACAATTACATGTTTAACCCTATGCTAAATCTGCATTCTTTCAATCGAATCAACTTGAACCTGGCTAAATGGATTGCGAATCAGGCTGACCCATTGATTTCATTTTTTTCATTTTGCTTTGATATAGTGAAAAAAACCCATTAAGCGAAACGAACTTTAACCACCACTCGTACGATCTACTTCCTATATACACTACACTGTAGTAATAGCAAAGATTCGCGTTTTGTTTTAGGGTAGGCCGTGGGTACTACCAAATGTTTTAGTCGCCCAAAATTTAGAAATGGCCAAAGTTTGAAAGAAAATGAGTTAGGTTTTTATCTACTAATTTTCATTGGTCGCAATATGCAGAGAAACCTCCAAAAAGAAAACACAGTGGGCATGAACAGGCACTGGTTAACCAGACCTGCAGTAGGCATGAACAGGCACTGGTTAACCACGCCTCTTCTCTTCATCTTTCTTCTTAACACTCTCACTCTCTCCTTCTACTTTCTGCATCAAAACCCCAACCCTGACCCAATCCCTAATTTTTCTTCTGCTTCTGCTCTCTCTAATAATCTCTCTGGTCAAAGAAACCCTAATTTTACTGCAAAACCGTGGCCAGACCTCGCTTCCTTTGTCCCATGGACGCCAAACCCTAGTACTTCTCCCTCCTCTTGCGAAGCTTTCTTTGGTCATGGCTTCACTCGTAAATTGGATCTGTTAAGTTCAGAGAGAAAGAGCTGGTTTCGATGCCATTACAATGAAGCATTGAAGAGCTCTGTGTGTGAAGGGGGATTGATAAGAATGATTCCTCAAAGGATTCATATGTCGAATGGCGGGGAGAGCTTGGAGACCGTAATTGGAAGAGAGGAGGAGGATGAGCTTCCAACTTTTGAACCAGGGGCTTTCGAGGTGGAGGCATCTGATGGTGCATTCAGGCAGATCAATGATGGAGATCGGAAGATAGTGAACCAGGATTTCCTGGATAGGTTTGTTCCAAGGGGAGCTATTTATATTCATACCATGCGTTCTCTGCTCGATTCTATTCGTGTAGCTGATTCCAAGGATTTCAATTGTTCAGAGGCAAGATAGGTCCCTCCTTTCTCCTTTTTGTTCTTTGTTGGTTACTTATGAGTGCGGAAGTTTGTGCATGATTTTAGTTTCTGACTATTCTGAAAAATATTATATGAAAATTGCGTTTCTTCTTCTATTTTGTTTTCAAAATTGCCATTGAAGTGGGGAAAGATATGTGCTTTTGATATCTGGTTTTTTGTTTTTAATGGGCTGAAGTCTTTCATTTGAGGCAAGTTAATTTCTTTTTCTTTTCCGAATTCTGTTTCATATTAGAAGTGAGGAGTGGTGCTTGTTATTGCTTGCTAGCTTTGTGCCATTTTTTTTCTGTTTTGGTTCTTTTTTGACAAGGGTGCAGTTGGCATAGGGATGCATCCGTAGCTGTAGAGGTAAGGTGCACCTTCAAATTTTATCATGGTATATAATTTTTAATGTAAAATGTTATTAGGATTATCGTAAAATCTATTTTTATATCTAATTATAAAATTTTAAATATAAAAAATGGTTAAAATCAAGTAGATCTATAAACATATGAAAATCTTGAAAATGGACGGTGTAGATAATATGTTGTAAAATGCACTATTTCTGAGACTTAAAATCTTTTTATTTTTCATGGTCATACATCTCGATGTCGAGATGATCAATCAAAAGGGTTTTTCAACATTAAAACCATGTTTTCCGATGGATTTTTGAGGTGCATCTGTAGCTATAGAGCTAAGGTTGCAACCTTATATAAACTTTTTCCTTTTGACAATAGCCTGTGCAAGGAAAACACAACAAAATTCAGACATCAATGGGAAGAGTTAACCGAATCGGCTGTGGAAGGAAAACACAACGAAATTCAGACATCAATGGGAAGAGTTAATTGTTGGAGATTTGAATACCCAAAATCCCAATTTAATCCACGAGGCGGAATTCATGTCCACCGCCGAGGCGGAATACATGGCGGTCACCACCAAGGCGGAATACATGGCAGCAATTGAAGCAAGCAAAGAAGCGGTTTGGCTTCAACGCCTTATAGGAGAATTGGATATCAAGTCTAAGCCAATGGAAATATTTTGTGATAATATGAGTGCCATTAATTTGGCCAACAATCCCGTTTATCACAAGAAGACAAAGCACATATTATTCCGATACCATTATGTTCGACAAGTTGTTGAAGATGGTTTGGTTCAATTGGTGAAAGTTGGAACCAAGGAAAATGTGTCGGATATGCTCACAAAGATGATTCTGGTAGAGAAGTTGGAATGGAGCGTAACTTCTCTAGGCTTCATGAAAAAGTATAAAAAGAATTATCGGCAAGGCAAGTAGGTAGGTGATTTTCTATTAAGTTGGAGATTGTTGAATGGTGATAGAAATTCACTGAGCATGTGTTTGTATTTGACCTATTTGTTTGGGGTTTTTTTGTCACAAAACTAAGTGACTTGTACAAAAGCTAAAAAATGGAACTTTTGGAGAGACGATTTATTCTTCTTGATTTTACTATTCTCTCTCTTTAGAAAGAGGTTAGGGTTTCTTTTGGTTATGTGAGAAAGGGAAAGAGGTGAAGAAGAGTTTTTTGTCAAATTTTATGGAAAAATTGTATGAGCTTGTCATGCTCATGTTCTTGGTTCATCCAAAGAAAATTACGGGGCAAATCGTGAGTTTTTTAGTGATTGCAAGAAGGTATTATGGTAATGGATTTCATTGGTGTTCTCCATTGAGGTAATATTATATTCCCCTTGTAAATTTCTCTTTGATAATATAAATGCTTACCAACTTGCTCGTGGATGTAGCCCTTTGGGGTAAACCACGTTGAATTCGTATTGTGATTTGTCTCTTTTTTTCCTCATAATTATGTTTCCATCTTTAATTTATTTTTCTTAAATTATGGCACATGATCTGTTGAGCTTATTATTCGATTATCGATTTTACATATTCTGTTTTGAGTGTGTGATGTTTGGTGATCCAATAATAAGCTCCACGGATCGTGTGCAATAATTTAAGATAAATAAATTAGATTCGATTTTACATATTCGGTTTTGAGTGTTTGATATTTGGTGATCCAATAATAAGCTCTATGGATCGTGTGCATAATTTAAGGTAAATAAATTAGAGATGAAAACATAATCATGAGATAAAATAAAAAAGACAAACCACAATACAAATTTAACGTCGTTTACCCCATAGTGCTTATATCCACAGGCAAGTCGGCAAGCAATTCTACTATCAAAGATAAATTTACAAGGGGGATACGATGTTATGTCAATGGAGAATACTAGTGAAATCCATCACCATAATACCTTCTTGAAATCACCTAAAAACTCACGATTCACATTATGATTTTATTTGGATGAACCAAGCACATGAACAAGACAAGCTTATACAATTTCTCCATAAAATTGGACAAGAAATCCTTCTTCACGTCGTTCTCTTTCTCACATAACTAAAAGAATCCTTAACCCCTTTCTAGAGAGAGAGAGAAGAGTAAAACCAAGAAGACTCGTTCTCTTTCTCACATAACTAAAAGAATTAACCCCTTTTTAGAGAGAGAGAAGAGTAAAACCAAGAAGAATGAATCGCCCCTCCAAAAGTCTCCTTTTTAGCTTTTTTACAAGTCACTTAATTTTGTGAAAAAAAAGCCCCCAAACAAATTGGCAAAATACAAAAACATGCTAGGTGCTTTTCTATCATCATTAAACAATGGAATATCGCCTCTATCTAAGAGGTCATGCCTCTCTTTCTTGAAGACCCATCTCCTCTTTGGAGATCCATTACCATAACCCCCAAAGGGGTGACCATAAAAAAGATGGGTTTTATGTCTTCCTTGACTCTCTTTTATAGATATCACTTTTGTGTTTATCAAGAAAGCCCATTTTTTTACAATAATAGCCTTAATCTTTTAGAATCCAAACTCAACAATTGTAATCCACCGAGGCAAAATACACGGCGGCAACCTAAATTGTATTATCCCTTGTAACCCAAAATTGTAATCTTCGTTGAGATAGTGGATTTCTATTTGCCGAAGCTATGGATGTAGCCCTATGGGGTGAACCACATAAATCGTATGTTGTTGTGGTGTGTTTTTTTATGTTTGTTTTATTTTTTGCACTCGATTTATAGTTGTATTCATCTACTTCGCATTTAGCCAATCATGTACACGATCTTGGGTGGGGTCCCAGTATTTGGGATTCTAGGTTCCGTAAGCTAGGGGTTCCCGAGAACCCTATAATTGATATCAGAGCACAAGGTATACACGGGCTAAGGCTTGCATTAAGAAAAAAGTGAATGGCGAAGTTTGATAGATACATGGTTTGAAGTGGAGAAATATAAGGTAAAATATTTGTGAAAATTCCGCAATAGAGGTAAGTGAGAAGAAATCAAGAAATCTATTCAATGAAGGTTGCCAAGGCAATTATGGTGATTTTGCTATCAAGGTGGAGGTTGTTGGGTTTGGTGATAGCTAAATCACCATACCATATTTTTCTTCTAAAAGATTACTGGGTACTATTGTAAAAAATGGATTTTTTTGGGAAACAAGAAGGTGATATCTATAAAAGAGAGTTAAGGATGACATAATATTTGTCATTTTGACGGACACCCCTTTCGGGGTTATGGGAAGGGATCTCTAAAATGGAGATAGGTCTCCAAGAGAGAGACATGGTCTCGAAGAGAGAGGCGGTATTCCCATGGGATTTTGGGTTAGTTAAGTTTCTACTTTTAGAGAGAAAAAATCTCTTGGTTGCTCTCAAGGTGCTCTTTCCGATAGTGGTATAGCAATGGGAAAGATGTTGATCGACGGTGTTGCTCGGTCGGGAGAGTGGTTTTAGAAGGGATGATCAGTGAGGGTTTTTTATCGATGGTTAGAGAGAGGTATTATCTCTTGTAACTCAGAGTTGTAATCTTCATTGAGATAGTGGTTTTCTATTTACTGAGGCTGTGGATGTAGCTCTACCGGGTGAAGCTTGTAAATTGTGTGTTATTGTGGTGTGTTTTTTTATGTTTGCTTTATTTCTTGCACTCGCTTTATAGTTGTATTCATCGACTTCACATCTAGTCAATCATGTACACTATCTTATGTGGGATCCCGATATTTGGGATTCCCTGTTCCGCAAGCTAGGGGTTCCCGAGAACCCTAAATCAACTAAAGTTTTGAAAATCAAATATGGCATGACAAAAATATTGGTAGAATGAGAGGGCATTGTTTGAGTTCTCTCTCTTTCTCTCTCTCTCTCTCTCAAGTATATTGATGATGCCAAGTATATTGATGATGCTATCTTATATAGAAAAAGCTCTTGTTGGAATGTCAGGTATACTTAGAAGAATCATGGCAACTTCCAACATTGATTATTGCTTCATGCTTTCTAACCATTATTTTTAAAATTCGAAAGATGATGATTGAAGATTAATTGCTTCTGCAACTGTATTTAGAATGCGAAATCCATGTTCTCGGTATTCATTTCGAATGATTACTCAACTAAAAATAGTTGCCTCTTTTATATTTTCTGAATGATAACCAAGCAGATTTGTGATTATGAATGTCAAAGATACGCTAAACTTGGTTTTTGAAAGCCGTGGAGGATAAAATCCAAGGTTTGGGCACATAGGAGTTTGATGTTTCACTTGATTCTGTGGAGCAGATGGCTCCTTTCGAAATAATGCAAGGAGAAATTTGCATTCTTAATATTTGGATTTGGATGCCTTTATTGTTTTGGGCTCCTAATAAAAGCTTTACCTACAGATTATTTTAACTAAGAAAGTTATATTGGCAAGTGCACAAGCTTCCTAGCTGAAATTTCATGAGACTTTGACAAATCTTATTCTCTTATAAATCCTCCTTTCAGAAAATTTGGTTGTTTTATTGAAGCTGAACTGAAGGTTCGATGATGTGAGAGATTTTGGTAATTTTAGTTGAAGGGTGGGTTTGATTATATGAGAGAATTATCTGTATTTTATACTGAAGTGGATGAAGAAGGTAAACTAATGTAGAAAGTAAATCATTGTTACCTATTCTTAATAGATTTATGGACTCTCTTTGTGTCATTTTGGTGCTTTTTAAAGTGGTTCTACCTTGTAACCTTATCTGCATCTGTTTATCTTGCATCCTATGTCATCTATTTCGATCACACATGTTTACCGACCTTTTTCTTTTCTTTTTATTTTTTAAAAATATGTTCTCTTTAACTTTCTGATATGTTGATCTTTAATTGCAGTTGGTTGAAGAACCAACCCTCCTTATCACACGTTTTGAGTATGCAAATCTTTTCCACACAGTTACAGATTGGTACAGTGCATATGTGGCTTCTCGAGTTACAGACTTGTCGCATCGACCTTATTTGGTGTTTGTGGACGGCCACTGCAAGGTGCTTATGGAATGGCCTTTTTTTATCTGTTTCCTGCTTTCATGTGATTATCTCTGATAGTTTGACCTAAAAAATTTGTAGCTAGTGAAAACTACACTTTTAAAGAAACGAATGGCTTTCTGTCAGCAAGCTTTTCATTTATAGTATCTTGTTCCTTCATATGAATGATTTTATGAGTATTTCCCTTCTTTGAGAAGGCTGAAACCTGTACAGGTACCATATTGTTCAAGAAGTGCCATAGAATAGTGAGTCAACTTTTCTGTGAAGGGCTTATGCAGCAAAATATTTGGCAGTGTTAAACTGTGCTGGTTAGTTTTTATCTTATCTGAAATATGAGATTTTGTGATTGCACTGGATGCTGTGCTTTCTGGCCTTGAATTTGTTTGCATGTGCTTCCTTTACTGGTGCCTTTTTTAGTTAAGTATACTTTAGGCAGATGCGGGTTGGTGATAACTTAATCACTGGCTTCTACTGGTTAGAAAAATCTTCTCTCCTTATCTTCCTTTGAATAAGCTCACTTCTTAAAGGATGTGAATAGGTACCTGTACGAGATTAGATTTATTGTTCAAATTGTCTTCTCAGAAGTTAGTAGGAATTGGTTGTTTTTATGATGGAATATTATTTATGGTTGCAGCAGCAGATGCAGGTTGTAAGTGAAAGCGTGATTTTCTTTGATCTGTCTTGTTCTGCTTCTTTTGCCTTTTGATTTTGTTTTGTTTTGTTTTATTTATTTTTGTTTTGTTTTGTTTGTTTTTTCTTGTTTTTGTTTTTGTTTTTTTTTTTTAATATCTTACAAGACCATATAGAAGAGTTTGAACAAATATACCATTCTCTTGTGCTGCATCTTGGCAAAATTCAAGTATGGTCGTCCTTTTCTTTCTGTTCTCTCACTCCATAAATTGCCCAAATTCTCTTTATGAATGTTTCAGGCTCCATTGGAGGAAGCTTGGAAAGCTTTGTTCTCAAGCCTGAGATATGCCAAAAACTTCACAGACCCAGTTTGCTTTCGTCATGTCATTCTTTCTCCTTTGGGCTATGAGACAGCTTTGTTCAAGGGTCTGAGTGATAACATACCCTGTCATGGAGCCCCTGCATCTGATCTCATGCTTAACCCTGACAGTGACAAGACTGCTAGGTTAACTGAGTTTGGTGAATTTTTCAGAGCTTCCTTCGGGTTTCCACTAAACAACACCAAAATTTCGCATTCATCTTTGCAACAAAATGTGCTTTTTGTGCGGAGAGAAGACTACTTGGCCCACCCAAGACATGGTGGCAAGGTGGAGCCAAGACTGAGCAATGAGCAAGAGGTCTTTGATACCCTAAAAACTTGGGCCAAGGCTTATAATAAGTGCCGCGTAAATATAATAAATGGCTTGTTTGCTCACATGACAGTGAGAGATCAGGTACAAGCTCCTTTTAGTATCCTTTTGTGATTCCATATGCATTATCTGAATCAGTGTTAGGTATTCCCTAGTTGGCTCGGCTCGGGAGCCAGGCAATTGCAGGTCCAGAATCTCTGGAATTGCCCCAATCTCCAATTTTCCATATATTTTTAAGTTCTCTTATTACAAATTGCCTGTTCCAACTTGGACTCTCCCGAGTTGGACTGGGGGGACTTGGGGTCAGGCCCCTGGCGAGTCAGAGCCTGACTTTTTAAACACTGGTCTGAATGACTTTCCACAAGAAAACTATAACCTATGAATCTATTTCCCCTTTTGATATCTCTTTTGCTATTTTTCCTTTAGTATCTCTTTTGCTGTTCTTTTCGATTTATATACGTTATTATTCACCAAGAAGAGAATAAACAGGTACGAGCTATTCAGGAGGCTTCGATTATTGTGGGGGCTCATGGGGCTGGACTGACGCATATAATTGCAGCCAGACCGGGGACTGTTATTCTAGAAATTATCAGTAGCATGTACAGGCGGCCCCATTTCTCTCTCATATCTCAGTGGAGGGGCGTTGAGTATCACGCAATCAACCTTGAGGGGTCATATGCAAATATAAACCAAGTTTTAAAGGAGCTCTCCTCCATTCTAAAAAGCCTGGGGTGTTGAATGTAGTTTAGTACATATACCTCTTTGCTCGCCATTTTTAAGAAGAGTTTAAGAGAATGACGAGTCGAAGCTTTTCTCTGCCTGAGAAGTTTCAGAGAGCTGATTGAGAAGTTTCAGAGAGCTGATATTGGGCCTGCTTTCTCTCTCTAGCCTTTGCATGAGGCTTTATCTAGAGCAGGGATAATTTTAAAAAAAAATTGTCCTAACAGGTTGGTTTTTGATGGTTATTTTCTGTTGGATTAGTTCAGACATGATCGACAACAGGATGAAATTAATTATCAGCAGTTGAATTTATGGAGGAGTAGGACTTAGGGGTACGTGTGATCTTTAATATGCATAAGCCTGATGAGTTGAACGCATAGGAAAAAGTGGAGTTTTTTGATATTTTCATGGGAGAGTGGCCTCACTGAATGAAGCAATATTTTATGCGATATCACTGATATACTCAATGTACAGTATGCCTATGCAACGTTCACTAATTTATTTTCAAGCATGGGAGAGTTTCCCAAGTATTCTGGTTTCAATAGCTGCCGGAAAGTTTCAGACTTGGTTATGTCTTCATATTGGTTGGCTATCTCCCTTTATTTGGATACAGGTATGTTCTCTGGCCCCTTTTTCTTTTCTGTCGATGACCAAATAGTGCAAATATTATAAAGTAAATATTTCTTCGAGTAATTTCTCAAAATGGTAATAGCTAAATGGGTTTTTCCAATTTCAAAATGAGCTTTTTGAAGATGATCCAGGATAACTATTTGCCTCTCCCTCCGACCTACGGGTTATTTACAAGTTCATTGTCACTATTTAGCTGTGTGACCCTGAACCTCTATTGGTTTCTTTGAACCAAAGTAGGTTGGAAGTTAAATAGGTGAGGAGTCTGGTCCAATGAAAACTAGTTCTGACCAATTTGACTGTTTAAAAATAAATGATGGAGAAAATACCGTGTTATCCATTAAATGTTAAAACAATAACCAGTCAAGAAATGAAAAATTGAAAATTTTATTTTTTGAAATGTAGAAAAGTGGTTAAATTTTTAAATTAAAAAATTATTGGGGAGGAAATATACTACAGGCAAAAAGCAACGTATCACTGCACATACTAGCTAGTCCTACTGCCGAGAGAGGGGGATGGTGGGGCGGTGGGATGGGGCGCAAGGTAGTGGTGGGGAAGGATTTGTAAGAAACTCAACACTAACTTTTAATGTTAAACAATTACTGCAATGTGAGGCTGGGGTGGGGGGAAGGATTTATAAGAAATTATAATGATAGTAAATCTTAGATGAATCTTAAGTGATTAGTCGAACTGATGGGTCGACCCAGTCACCCATTGCTTTTGGATGGGCTAGGAACTTCTGGAGCCATTGGTTCTCCGATATATTTTTGTTTTTTTGCATTAATAATGAAAAATAAAAATGTTGGAAATTGGGAAAAAATGGGGTGTCTTGGATCTGGCCTCACTCAACAATTTTGAATCGAGTCAACTTGCAATTTTAAAACACTGATCAGCAGTCATCATGTTATTTTACAAGTGTCATGGTGTTTTAATCTGATTTTGCGGCTAGTTTTAGGGAAGCATAAGCGAATTCTGGAAAGAAATAGATCTGGCCTCCTATGCTTCGAGAAAATAATTAAAAAAAAGGTATTAGGAACAATGAGCTATAGAAAAGATGAAACCAGGGTGGAACGAAACATAAAATGATCACAAAAAAAAGGGGTTAAAAAAGATTTGTGAACATGGTGATCCACCTATGAATCATCAGGTTATTTTTAAAAAACAGTTGTCAAACCCAATGTTCAATGGTCAATGTGAGTCCAGTCGTCCAACGAAGGAAAGAGGTGGTTCAATCTCAAATTAGGTTAGAAGTTCTTCAATATTTAGATTTTTTTTGAAAAACTAATAGCGCTGGATATGTTTCCATTGGGAAATGATACACCAAATTAAGGTAGGTTTATTGGAAAATGGTACACCAAATTAAGGTATACCGATAAATTTTCCCCTATTTCTATTTTTAACTTGTTTTCTGGTGAAAACAAATCTGTAGTTGTTAATCGCCACCTTAACAACCTCTGCTTGGTGCTCTCTTTCTACCTATTGACAACAAAACTTGTTGCGTCCAATTTCTTTTACCACCGTTAATTTGACCCACCTTAATCGTTTCATTCTTATCAATTAGAACACACATAAAATTTAGAAAAACGGATAGGTGACTTGGATCAGCCATCTGAAAAACTAGTTTGATTTGGTGGATCGGCGATCTAGTCGAGTGAACCAGCTAATAAAATATTTTCAAAAAATTAGAGAACAAAAAAATGAAAAATTATCAAAATAATAACTAGGCCTGGTTCTGGATGGGAACCAGCCGGTTCCCGATATTTTGGCGGAATTGGACTGAACCTTTTGGTTCCCAACCGGATTGACCGGTTCCATTCCTGATCGCTGTTTTTTAAACCTTTAGTCAAACCCAGAATCCAGCATGGGAGCTAAACAACGTAAGATAATTTTTTTCTTCTGATCTTTTCTCGAGGAGTTCGTCTAAATTTAGATCCCCAAGTATGTGACTCTCAAGTCAAACAATTGAAACCTTTGCAGTACATATCACGCAAACTAAATTCATATGCTCTAAATTCATATTAATAAATGAAAAAGAATACTATGGTTATTAAACAAGTACATAAAACCATATGAATATTAAACAGGTACACAAAACTAAGGAAAACAAGGGTGTGCAAATGGTATTGAAGAATTCCATCTATGCAATACCAGTTCTAAGAAGTTTGCGTAAAGGATAGGTTTTGGTGTTTTGAGATTGCTCAAAAAGGGTGCATTAATCTCTCTCTCGTCCAGTTGATAATTAATAGGAGACAACTGACCATTATGAACTGAGGGCAAAACCATATGCATTAGCTACCACTACTTCCAAAATCAAACCATTTCCCATCTATAAAAATACATGCAACACACACAAATCAGCATTATCATCCAAACCCAAACCCTAACCCTAACCCTAACCCTAGAAAACCTAGTATCTATCACCATGGGAGTCCATCATGACTCTGAAACTTCATCTCACCACCTCCTCTTCTTCATGTTCTTCTGTATTTTTGTGGCCACTAACGCCTGGCCCCTGAAACCCCACCTAAAGTTAGAGCCTATACTCAGACAACTAAACTAAACCAAACCAACATTCAGAAGCTCGGCAAATATGCAATCTTTACTCATAACATTCTAACTGGTGTAAATCTCTCTTTCATTGCCGTATTGGAAGTGCAGGTTCAGGTGGTAGCAGGAGCCAATTACAAGATGGCAATCAAAGCTCGGGAGGTTCCATTTGCCAGAGTTTATAAGGCTGTTGTTTCATGTGTGGGGGAGGTCATGGGTGAACTTTAGGAACCTGACATTCTTCCAACCTCTTCTTGATTAGTTTCTATTTCCATGGATTTACTCAGTATTTCAAGGATCTGATACAGTTGATGGAATATGGCTACAGCTTCTCTCTTGTTTAATGTGCCTTCTTTGAAATGCTGATGCTTTGACTTTGGTTTGAACTAGTGTTGTTTCCCTTAGGAAAATGTCATATTTACGTTCTTTCTTTTTGATGTTTTACCAGAACAAGTAATCTATAAGATATATGGAGATCAAGCATGGAAGAATTCCATCTTCTCTTCCTAATGTTCTTTCTTCCCTTATCTCACCACATAAACTACTAGGGGACTCTGGTTATGTAGGCGCATAAACACTCAAAAGCTCTATGATTTATTAAATTTCATGAATGATCCCAAAATAAAATAATTGTGGGAAATTAATATCACCATAATGGGTTGGTCCAATGCAGAAAGCTTGGGGATTGATGATCTCGATTTGAACAATTATGGATCTGGATAAAAAAAGAAGAAGGATAGTAAACCCTAAGAATACTACATCTTGTAACACAATTTTTGAGCTGTCCATTTTCAAATGTTCAAATATATGTCAGATTTGCAGTATTTGTGCAATTGTAAATTTTATAATCAGCGCAGAAATATAAATTTAGGGCATTGTACCTTTGGCCTTGTGTTCGTGTTAACTCTCGGTAATGTTAAACTTTTGAATCTTTTAGGAAAATAATTGTGTATTGATTAATCATTAAAAATATACATAGTTTTTATATATATAGGGCTAATAAGTTATTGATAATAATGAACTAATCTAGTCTTATCAAGAGAGATATCTGCATCAAATATAAGATAACTTAAAATTAAAAACTATCCGCAACTATTTATATCTTCTCGACTATCTCTAATCTCTATACTCCCTCTCAAACTGAGGTTGGGTGAACATCACCAGTTTGTCAACGAGATAGTCATGACGAGCACGAGTCATTGTCTTGGTAAATATATCTACAAGTTGTTGTTGGGAGATAATATATGGGATTGTAACTTCTCCAGCCAGAAATTTATCACGATTGAAATGACAATCAACTTCTATGTGCTTTGTGCGGTCATGAAACACTAGATTTGACGCAATACTTACCTAAGATACAAGGCTCAATTCGGGGTCGTTTGAATGTTTGAAAAATCATACCATCTTAAAGTTGTGCTTCTTGAATGTTTCAAACATTCAACAATACCATTTTCAAGGCCTTCTTCCAGTTTGTGACTGAAACTATTTTTAAAGTAGTAGGTACAATGTTTCAGACCTTAGACTGGCAGCTGGTCCATCGTTTAATTTACCATTTTTCTCTCGATCCACTATTGTAAATATCATACCGCTTTATTTTGATTTATTTATTTTTCTTTTTTAAGATTATCTGATGGATAAGATATTGGATCAACCTATTTCTTGGATGGTTCAGTAATGGCAACAATGGACCGCCCGACATTCGAATATAGTCTTTTGTATGGGGTAGTCCGATCTTTCATACGTCCAAACTTGCCCAAACTCGGCTTATTTTTATTTTTACTTTTTGTATAATTGCCACGGGTTGGTGGCAGGTTATGGAGGGGGCTTAAAGGATGAAAGAGGACGCATCATATGGACTGCACAAGATCTTCCCTTCGTAGCAAGCTATTGAAGCAGAGTTACTTGGTCTAAAATTGTATGTGATTGACATTTATAGCTTGCTCTTAAACTTAATTATTGAAGGGGATTTCTCGAATGTTATTAAATGGGGATTACGTCCTAATTCAATTCCATGGAGGTGGGCTGGTGCAATGATGGAAATTCTCTCATCTCAGGGATAGAGAAGTAATTTTTGTGCATGTGAATAGAGAGATGAATTCCCCTGCGGATGCTTTAGCTGTTACGTATTTGTAATTTTCTTCTTTTTTATTTTGTTAATTTTTCCTTGTTTTCCTATTTGGCTTTACCAGCCTCTTGCTTGTACCATTTTCATTTAGCATTGGTAAATATTCGGGGGCAAAATACCATTTGAATTAGTTGTTTAGACTTCTCCAGTACCATCATCATTCCTAATGCACGAAAGATGAGAAAGTAATAATTAAATTAAAATAAATAATTATAATAAAAAATGACATAATACACCTTTATTACAAATTTTTTAAAGGTACCCACGTCAAAGATCTCTTGATGATATTAAAAACAATTCTCTAAGTTTACACCAAAGATCTCTTCACGAGTTCAAAAATAATATCTTTCTTATAAAAATAAGTTGTTCTAAAAAAAAGATCTCCTTCCCTTTAAATACGACTAAAAATAAATAAAATTTCAATTATGTACCTCAAGTCTCTACAACTAAAAATAACAAAAATAACCCTATAAGAATGTTAGAAACCCTGAATAATTGGAATCTAAATGTCAATCTTCCAAAATAATAAGAACCTAAAAAAAAAAAAAATAAAAGTGAAAATTACTTATATAGATCCATTTTTAAACATTATTTATATCTTACCATCAATTTTTTGTTGTTACATTTTTACCAATTGTTTTACCAATTATACAATAATACGTTTAAATTTCCTAAATTTCCCTTTTCACATTTTTAAAATGTGTTTTGAAAGTTTCCAATGTTCAACATTAAAAAAATCGTATTTTAGTGTCCTCCAAAATTTTCAGATTCGAAAAATCCAAAATTTATTTGAAAACAAAATTTTCGATTTTTAAAATTCAAAAATTGAAATTTTCAGATTCTCAAAATCCAAAAAAAAATGCCAGTTTTAGTATCCCAATAACATTGGATTTTTTTAAATCCAAAAGTTATTCAAAAATTGAATTTTCAAGTTTTGAAAATCCAAAAATTACATTTTAGCGTCCTAAACATTTCTGGATCTCAAAAATCCAAATTTCCTTTAAAATTGATTTTTTATTTCTTTTCAAAATCTAGAAGTTGCATTTTCTTGCCAAGGATTTTGTATTTTTTTAAATTCGGCCATTAAAAATTCAAAAATTTATATGTGAAAAAATAAATAAAAAAAAGCACACTCTCTTCCACAAAGGATCCCGTATTTATATTGATTTCATTAAGTAGGTGTTGGGCTCCAATCCTTAGGGAAACTAGCTTTTTACTGTTGGGGTTCCTGGTTAAGTGTCTGGGCATTTATAAGTTGATGGGTAAGAAAAATAATGAGAGGGAGTAAGGCATTAAGAGACGTCTAAGAGAGAGAGAGAGAGAAAGAGACGTATAAGGGATAGAGATGGTGTGGTGCAAGGACCTAGCTAAACAGGCCACAGACTTTAAGATAAAGAGACGTACAAGAGAGAAAAATACAGGCTTTTTTGTCCTTTTTGAAAATCATTAGTAGTTTTCGAGGACTGTAGGTAAAAATGGAAGCCTAAATTTTAAGTAGGGCTCACATGGTTGGTGCAACCACCACAACTGGAGGCGGATTCTCGATAGGCCATGCATGTTTGGCTTTACCTTTGCATATATTGTCTAATCTAGATTGGAGCATAAGAGTAAAGTGAACGGACCAGTTGATCATCATGTTCTTAGGGACTTTTATGACCATCTAACCACTTCTTTAACGATGATGACGTTTAATGAGCGATATCTCTGAAGTTTTATCCTAGAAATTTGCTAGTGAAAATTGTGAGAATTTTTGTTTACATTAATTAGCTGTTAATTAGTGTAAAAAAAATTAATTAATAACAATTATTATGAAAAGACTCTCGTACCTAATCACACTGAAATTCATTTTTACCAAAAACGTGCTCTTATTAATTCTTTTTTCCCAGAGTGAAAAGGAACGCACGTAATGCCCCAGGGGGACCAAATTAATGGATTGGACCAGGAAACCGGGTTAATTTTAACTTCTTGTGGTATTTAGTCTTCGTAGTCTCTCAAATGTCACAACCGTAGGTACGATGTTCGTGTTCCTTTTTAGTAAAAGTGATGGAATTATCGCTTCGTCTATATTTTAAGATATTTTATAACGAGGTCTTTCGTTTTTAACTTTTTTTAAAGTGTTTTATTGTTAATTTTGAGGCCTTTGTTTAGGCGGTCTGATGGATAAGAAATTGAACCCAATTTTCGACGAAGAAAAATTCTTTTCTAAGTGGTCGATGTTTCAAAGATCTGCCACATCATACGGGACGTAAAGGCGGTCTGATATTTCCATCTAAGGAATCAGACCACCCATGAAACCACATAAAATAAATAAATAAATACGATTAATAAAAGATGCTATTTGAGGATTACAAATCAAACCCAGGCAAAATTCAAAGAAAAAATGAAAAAATGCACAGAGAGTGACCTCACTAAAAAAAAAGTACTAAAAATCAAACGAAAATTCCATACATATCACTCTTTATGTAATTTTCCCTAGAAATTGTTTCATGGCACAAAATGGCCCATAAGGAGCACAGGTCGCCCTGTTCAAGTTTTGAAATTCGGAGGTATGGAATTCTCGTAGAAGAAATTTTCCTTGAGATAAACACCTTACTAAATTCATTGAAGGATTATTTAAGGGAAGTGTATTACAAACAAAGAACCAACCAAATGGCTCAAGGATGGGAATGTGAATACAAAATATTTTCATGTCATTGCTAATGCTAAGAAATGACATGATGATATCTCATGTATGTCTATTCCTGAAGTTGAATAGGGTGATCATACTGGTTTGGTGATGCAAATAAAATAATAATAAACCTGAAAATTAAAATAAAATTAAAGTGTTGAGAGTAAATTCTTCCTCTCTAAGTCTATAAGGGAGAGCATCTCAAGATCTTTTCACAAGATGAAAATCTGTTTTAATTCTCCCATCACTCTTTAGTCTTTACAAAGAAGGGACATCTTCCATTTAAACACAAATTATAAGAAATAATAAAAAATAATAATAATTAAACTCTCTCTCTCTCTTTCTCCATTATCCCCCCTATCTCTCTTTCCATTATCCCCATAAATTTAGGAAACACCATCTAAAAGTCATATGGCTTCCCTACCGGTCTCTTTAGCACATCCCACAAGCCATGGAATCAATCACGTTTCCCTAGTCTAACATATCCTAACAATGTCATCATGCTAACTTCATGCTAAAACCAATTATATCACAACCAACCCAACCACTAATCCTATCCAAATCTTTTAAAAACATAAAATTTTCATTCTACGGCTTAAATCTCTACAACTAAACAAATATAATAATAACAATAAAGAAAGCTAAACACACATATAATCTAAACTTAGAAAACATAAAAATAAAAAAATTACAAAAACCCATTCTCCCAAGGTTGGAAGAAGCTCAACTTCGAACTTATGGAATTTGAAAATATTCTTTCACTTATGAATAAATTTGAACAAAACAAGTGATATGCTTGAAATCAATTGTGATGAAAAAATATCTTGCACCTTCAACTACTTGTATTTCATGCTTCTCAATCAACTCAATTTCTAAAGCAAGCCATAGTGTGTGTTTAATATTGGGATTGGTGGTTGATTCTTTATCTTCTACTTCTTTATATTCTTGTTCGTCATGCGGTAATCTATTAAATAGATCTGGTAGATTTTATTGTATTGCTTCGCCAATACGTTTTATCAGGTCTTTATTGAGTCTCTTAAAGTTTTTATCCAACCACTCAAATATTTGATCTATATGCTCCATAGCTAGATCATCAATTGTTTGTGATCAGCACAAATCCCAAAGCTCTGATACAAACTAAAGCAGGGAGAAAAATAATAAACTAGAAAATTAAAATAAAATTAAAATAAACTTAAAGAATTGAGAGATTATACCCTATCTCTGAGTTTGTAAATCAGTCCACCCCAATACTTTTTTACAATATCAAACTCATTCTTTATTCTACAATCACTCTCTACAGAAGAAGAAACATCTTCTCTTGAAATACAATTTGCAATGAAAAATAAATTAAAATAAAGTGACAATGACCTTTTTACAATAACAAACTCTTTCTTTGTTTTACAATTACTCTCTACAAAAGAAAGAATATCTTCCCTGTAAATGCAATTTACAACGAACAATGTATAAAAATAAAGTGACAATAAAAAATTAATGTCTCTCTCTCTCTCTCAATTCATTATCTCGTTAGATTTAGGAAGCACCACCACCTAAATGTGATGGGGCTCCCATACCTATCTCTTTAGCACATCCCACATGCAATGGACTGAATCACATTTCCCTAATCTAACTTATCTTAACAATGGGTGCAGCTACTAAGGATTGGCTGGAATATGAATTGCATGATCTGTTGAGATAGGAAGAAGTTTACTAGAGACCGATATCTAGGGTGAAATGATTGAAAGAAGGTGATTGCAAACTCTAAAAAACGTCAAAATGATATATTTGGAATCTCCTTTAGTAATATAGTTGAGGAGGATGATGTGGTATGGGATAATGATTTTCTTACACATTTTGATAAGGCTTTTACCAACGTATGCATTATAGGTGTTTTCTTTCCTAGGGTGCAGTTTCAAACTTTATCAGACATTCAGGCTTAGGAATTGGAAATATCTGTGACTATAGAGGAAGTAAAACGTGTTGTTTTCTCTCTTAATGGGGATAAAGCCACTGGACCAGATGTCTTCCCCTTGCTTTTTTTCATAAGTTCTGGGGTCTGGTTGGGGATAATGTCTTTCATATGTTGGTTGATTTCTTCAATCACGATATTTATCGATACGAGCATTAAGTCAATGTTTAATACTCTAATTCCTAAAAAGGATGCGACAGCTGGTATTTTTAAGTGAGACCTATTAGTTTTCTAATAAGTCTCTATAGGATTATTGCAAAATTGCTATCCCTCATAATAAAGAAGGTTTTGTTGCTAGTGGTCTCGGGACCCAGTCAACATTTATAAAAGGAAGAGTTATCACGGATAGCATTTTAATTGCCCAGGAGTGTCTTCAATCTAGAGCCCTGAGCACAGAACCAGGTGTGGTGATGAAATTAGATTAGGAAAGGTATACAATAGGGTTGAGTGGAATGTATTAGATTAAATTATACTAAGAATGAAGTTTGGGGACAGATAAAGAAGGTAGATTAGAGGTTTCTTATCATCGGCTCATTTTTTAGTTTTGGTAAATGGAAGCCCTTTTTTTGAAGTCTTCTAGAGGATTGAGGTAAGGAGATCCATTGTTGCTATTTCTGTTTACTTTGGTGGCGGATGGTTTTAGCTTATTGCTCAAAAGAATTGAATAGAGAGGTAGGTTCAATAGTTTTAGGGTGGCTGTTGGGGGCCCTATTATCTCTCACCTCCAATATGCTAACGACATGTTAATCTTCTGTGATGCAGAGGTGAATCAAGTGCAAGTTATCTCTCTGTTCTTACGATGTTGTGAGGTTGTCATGGGTCTTAAAGTCAATTTCTCAAATACCACTTTAGAGGAGTGTTGGTGTTGAGGTTGCTATGGTTGAGAAATCAGCATTGACGATAAGATGTGCAGTTGGTAGTCTTCATTTTAATTATCTAGGCATTCCTACCTCCGATAAAAAGCTATCAAGATCGATATGGAACCCAGTAATGAAAAGAGTTATCTCTAAGCTGGATTTATGGAAGTCAAAATTCTTTTTCTCCTGGGTGGTGTTACTCTGATCAAATCAACTTTATCTAATATACATGTTTACCTACTATCTTTGTGTTATGTGCCAACCCCTATTGTTAAGGAGATTGAATGGCTCATGCGCAATTTTTTATTGGGGTCATTTGATGGTAACAGAAACTACCATCTCTTAACGGAGTGAACAACCCGCTTAATCATCATGTTGTTATGGGCCTATTACCCTCTCTGTTCCCATCTATCCACTTCTTTAACAGTGATTGCCATTAACAAGGATTATCGCTCGATTTTTATCTTATTAATCAGGTCCGGTCCCGAAGACAATGAAGAGGAAGGCACATGGTGGGCCTAGGGGATACCCAATTTTTGGTACGGAACGTTGTGCTAGGAAAACGTGGAAAAAAAGAAAAAGACAAGGAGAATATAGGCTACCACGTTGAATAGATTTTTAAGCCGATAAGGCCAGATAATATGAGTAGATTTTTTACTTCTTATGGGATTTCGCTGCAACCACGTGAGTAGATTTTTAACTTCTTATGGGATTTCGCCGCAGTAAATGCGTGATGCATGCTCTCAAAATTATAGCTATGGCAAATTTAAAAGTAGATGATGTTCAGAGGTCTGTCGAACTGTATCGAAGGTTAAGGCAGTCCGATATTTCCTAATTGGACAGTTTCAGAAATGTTTGCTTCCGATACCAGAACATGAAACCACATACAAATAAAAAAAAAACATCAATAAAGATTAATTTGATATTTACAACATCTAACCCGGGGAAAATTTCAAAAAAAAATGAAAATACGAAAAAAATGACCTCACATAAAATTTCAAAAAAGATAGATGAAAAGAAAAATTAAATGATTTTTTGCTCACATAAGGAGTATAGTATTCATTACTCCTTTGGACAAGATACATTATTGGGATACTTTTAGGATCTCAAATTTTGGGGATATAAACTCTACAAACCATAGAATAACTTCAGCAAAAAAAACTTATCCTAAATTAACTCTCTGCTCGCTAGAAAAAGCTTATGCCTCAAGATTGAATACAAACCGTCCAATTTTTGAAGGGCTAGGTCGAAGTGTCACGAAACTCAGAATTTAAATGTTTTTCTTGAATAAAAAAGTTCCGGTAATTATATATGATTCCCAAAATTTTAGGTAAAAAAAATCTTCCTAAATAGGTGAACTTTTTTCCTTTAAAAATAATTATCTAGTAATTCTATATGATTCCCAAAATTTTAGGCAAAAAAAACCTTCCTAAATAGGTGTATTGGATGAGGGAGTAAATACACATTATGCTCCCACCAAAATACAGTACAATGCGTCAAAAATAAATTCCATAGATATCACCCCATTCGTAATTTTGGTTAGAAATTTTTTTAAAGTGCAAAGTGCCCCAAGAGAAACTCAAGGGACATCCATCCTTGTACATTGTCTTTTCAAACTTTTCGTAACATGTTCCATTAATTGGGTGTCCCCATGCAACACGCTGTGCTGTCATCCTCTTTGCGTGGGACCACATTATTATTTTCTTTTTGAAATGGTAATATTTTCTTTTTTTAAGGAAGTATTAAAGAAAAAATATATCCAATATTATGTAATGGTATGATTTTTTCCCCTACGTTAAATTTATTGTACCTGTTTTTTCTTTTTTTTCTTCTTATATTGTAGGGTTGTCCCAATGCAATGGGTCAATTTGCGTTCTCAGTTTATTTTTAAAGTTACCAGTCTGATGTTTCAGGTGACAGTCCGTTATTTTATTTTCCAATGAGTGGGAAGAATGAAATAGGGCATAAAAATGAATGATCTTAACAAAGATAAAAATAGAGAACATGAAGGGTTATCGTGAAGCTGGTTCAATGTTTCAATCATCACACGAATTGTAGTGCATAGTATGTAGGTTGGTCCAATATTTAGGATATTGAACAGTACAAATTTAGGGGAGCCTAATGTTTTAAACATCAAATTGATCCTTAATTGACCTCTAAGCTTCCGGATAGCCTTATTGTCCAAAAAAACCATGGTATGCTCTTGCCAAGAAAGTACCTGTTAGCTCTGACTACTATTTGGATGCTAGATTGCCATACTTTATTTTCATTCTTTTATTTGATGATTCGGCACAATTGGCCCATTTTAGGGTTGTAAAACAGTAAATAGTATCATTTTTTAATTTATTAATGGAAAATGGATAGCTGGTTTTGTTTGACTTACCCCAAAAATAAAAAATTATAAAAACAAAGAAAATATCAGAGAAAAAATAACCCGAAAAAAAAAGAAAAAAAAACTCCACATAAATTTCAAGGAAAATTGTAGCATTCCCCAATTTTTGGATACAGACATAATGTTTCCTTTTTTCCAACTGTGCTGCATCTTACTACATCCTAAATCTGGCTGTTTACACATGAGAAACACATGCACCACCTCACCAAAAAACACAGTAATACAACTTGCACGCCAAGGGAAATATGACGCGAATCTGTTCCCTAATCGACAATAACCATTAATCTCTCCCTCTCTGTACCACCACCATTTTTTTCTCTCTCTATCTTTTACAATATGCGATGAAATATGGATCTTTTTGATATGCATCAATAATTCAAAGTGGTACCACCATTTTTGGGCTGTCTCTTGTGTCTCTCTTAGTAGTGCATGTGTTACACGTGATACCAGTCCTTCATACTCTCTCTCTCACCAGGATTTTCATCTATAAATACATAAACACAACCCAAGAAGAGCAACTCAACAGTTAAACCTAAATTTCCACTTCGCGAATATGGAAACCCAACGCCTGATCTTCTTCATCCTCTTCTCTGTCTTTCTGCCTGCTATTTCCATGGCTTTCCCATGCCCACCACTTCTTGGAAGCTACTGCGTAATACATGCCAATCAAACTCACGTTAAACATCTTGGACAATTTGCAGTTACCCAAGCTCACAAAAATCTCACTTTCCTTTCTGTGGTGGAAGCTCAGAGGCAGGTAGTGAACGGGTTCAATTATAAGTTGGCAATTCAAGTTCTTGAGGGTGGATATTCTAGGGTTTATGAGGCCCTTGTGTACGAGCCAATTAAGGGGGGCAGAAAGCTCACAAAATTTGAGCCTCTTCTCCCTCTTCCATCCCCACCACTGTATGGTGGCTTCCACCAAACAGATACCAATGCAACCATAATTCAACATCTGGGCGAATCTGCAGTCGCGAATGCCAATGACAAGTATCTGTCGTTTGTTTCTGTAGTCGAAGCTCAGGTGCAAGTGCTTAACAAGATCAGAAACTACAGGATCGCCGTGCAAGTCCTCCAAATCGGCTATAGTAGAGTTTACAAGGCTGAGGTGTCGGTGACAGAAATTACCACGAAAATCATTTCCTTTAAACCTCTTCTTCCTCTTGTCAATGAGTAGTCTCTCTCTCGCTCTATCTGAATAAGCCGACATCGATCTGTGTCTTTGTGCAATGGTGCTGTTTTAGCTATAAGTGCGTACTGTACTCCGTTATTGGTCTCGTTATATAGTTCGCATCAAATGGCACCGTATCCCGCTTTGGGCCTCGGTGCGTTGATGTCGTGAAATAAGGATGCCGTCCATTTTGAGTCCCACTTAAGCAAATATTGTTGTCAAAACACGGTATTGTGTACTCCATTGTTTTAGAATTTAGATATATGAAATAATGCTTCCCTTTGACCGTTATATAGGTCCATATTTTGAGAAATTTTATGATAACGTCCTTCTTAATTTTTTTTTTTTTCTATGTTTTGATCTCAATCTAATGTTGTCAACATCGAACTAATTTTTTTTATTTGTTTTATTTTTTTGCTTTTCGAGGGCGGATGGATAAGAAATTGGATCAACCCACTTCTAACATATTCCTTTGTAAGGGGCAGCCCGATGTTCTATACATTCGACTTGACCATGCATGGCTTTATATATATATATACATAATATTACTGGTCTAACATTGAAAACAATGGACCTCGTTTAATTTATTGAGGCAAAAAAAATTTTGCTGGCGTGAAAACGCTAACATTAGGCCACCCAAAACAAAATCTTAGATTAGCTCGTACGGCAATCCAATGTTCTATACATCGAACCACTCCTGACTCCTTTTTTTTTCTTCCCCTTTAAAGTGTATTACTGGTTTGATGTTGGAAATATCAAACCTCTTTTAACTTACTAAATAAAAGGCAACTTTGTTTTTTAATATCTCCAATATTAGGGTATCCGTGCAAAAGAACAGATTAGCTTGCAGGGTAATCCAAAATGTTATACATGGGCCGCTCCAAAATGCCAAGATTTAAAAAATATAGAAATAAAACATATCACACTGAAGATAAAACAGGAATTAAAAAAACAGAAAAAAAAACTTGCCCAAAAGCTTAAAAAAATATAGTCCAGAAGGTGATCGATAAATTAAACCCAGTTCCCACATTAATTTCTCATGTAATTAACTAAATAGATCACTGGGATAAATTTGCTTCATGTTGGCTAAAAAGAACCAAAATTTTATGTGAAAATCATTCTCCTATATAGTTGTATTGGATGAGGGAGTAAATACACAGTGTACTCCCTTAAAAGTATAGTATATGAGCTCAAAAAAAAATTCCATAGGTATCACCCCGTATGATCTAATGCAATGGTTTTATCCTTATATAATGCAACCGCACTTCTAAAAAACTATGATAGAGGTATTTGCATAACCAAAACATTTGCACATACTTTCTTCATCCCAATAATCAAACCCAAGAAAAAAAATTCAATTTGTACCCTAGATATGGTCAAAATAGGTTCCCTCCAACAACGAATGTAGACCATTTATTGGTGAATTTCAAGATCTTAGCCTTTACAAACTCAAAATTATTTTTTCATTTTTTAATATTCTTCATCTAATGATAATAAAGCCATCTAAATGAATTGGAAAAGAAAAATCCTTCTAAAGTCTAGATCTAAGTATCTTATCAAAATAGATGGCCTATGTTAATTGGGCTAAAAAAATATTTTCTAAGTTGTATTTTCAAATTTTTATGTTTTGTGATTGTTTATTAGAATGAAAAAAGTGTATATTTTATAATTTCCATCAAACAAATGGCCCTAACATGGTTTTTAAAGATTATTGTCTTATATTACTATACAACCGTTGTATGAAATCACTGCCCCAAAAACGTAATTTTCTTTAGAAATGTTTTCACAGCGTAAAGTGGCATGGGAAAAACTCAAGAGTCAGCTATCCTTGTACCATACTCATGCAAATGCCCCAAAAGTCTCCACCAAATTGCGTCATAGTGTTCAGTACCATTAATTGGGCATCCCCATGCACCACTTCCTCCTCTTTGTGACCAAATTATTATTTTCTTTTGG